TCTTATTTTGCGCATTCCATGCATGTGCTCAAGTTCAATGTATTACTGGCGCGTACTGTATTTAAAGGCATGTATGAAGGATGCAAATTTCGACGTATTTTCATCACCCGAGAAAAGTATTAGTGTAAGCATTCCTGAACACTCGTGCTGTTTATGTGATCACGAAATCTATTTCTACGTTGCTATATCTCTGCCAAGATTACATTGTCTTTTGCAATCGTGGAAGAGGCGTGTGGCAAGATTTGTACTGTCCGTAAAGTCTTGTTAAGGTAGTGATTGTCCAAGCCAGCGTTGACTGCATCTTTTTATTTTCTTTTATCATCAATTCTGCCCAGCAAGCTTATCCTGACAAAATAAAAGTTATCAAAGCTTGAGCCCATAAAAAACTGCATTTTCTGCTATGCCAGTGAGTGGCAGCACGTCCCCTTCTTTTTAAAGATACCACGGAAACGGCTGACTGCGGCGGAGAAGCGGCCGTCATGCTAACAGCCTGCGGCGCTTGTTGCCGTGGTCGCAGGAGTGTGTACACGTGGCACAGAGCGGTTGTTCCGGTCGCTACGGTCACAATGGATGCTGTTGTAGCTAATGCACTCGTTGCAAGTGCCCGAATTACATGTCGTGCAGTCCGGAGCTTAAAAAGAAACAGCTGCAGTTTCACCGCTTGCCACTCGAAGAATCACGTTGAAGCACTTGGTGAAGGCTCATCAGTTCGAGACACCCCAGGTCTAATGTCCTCTGTGCATGCTCGGAACATTCCCATACATTAGTCATTCCTTGTCCGATTCCGACGAGGACCTGGAGTCTTCGTCAGAACAGTCACCGCACTTCCAACAGGCGTACCGGCATGCGGGACCAGTCCCATGCTGTCACTGCAGCGCAACGTATCTAATTGAATTTCGCTCAGGGTCGATGTGTCCATAGCTATCACGGTGGTGAGGTGCCGATTCAGATTATACGTCGGTGGCATAGGCACCATCCACACAGTGCTACCCTGTGGTAAAACCTACCGGCACACTGCCAGCTCACCGCTAACGCTCCCATTCTCCTATTGCAGAGACAACTTTTGTTTCCGGTGCCAGAGCACGTCACAACCATCAAAACTACGCCATTGCTTGTTTTGCAGCAGGTTGGAGTGGAAGAAAAACTCACTATTTCATTAATTTTTAGGGTAGAAGATAATAAACCAAAACGAAAACAGATGCCTGTTCAACATTCAGTGAACACTGAAGGTTGAATGTAAAAGTTACTTGTCAAAAGTAAAAAGGTAATACCATGATCCCTTTAAAATCAAGTAGCAGCTCTAAAAATAAAATTTGATTATTGTAAGATAGGCAGATACAACATAAGGAAACACAATGTATTCAGTGATCACACTGAAAAACCTTGGGGACTAAGAATTTTTCAGTACAATCGCTCACTAGCTCGCCCGTACAATCACCCCTTTTATCTATTCAGTAAGAGTTTAATCTGAAAAGCAATGTTGAAGCAATAAAGCCTTAAAAAAAAAAAGGTTGTTAATGCGACGTTCAAGATATCCAATTTGTCAACTAAAAAGTCAATAATTGTACCCCACCCCTGTTTATTTGTTGTTCAACCCTTCCTTTCTTTTGTTTGTTTATTATGAGCAAAGTACAGCAAGTTTCATGCTGTTTGCATACGAGTTCCATAGAAAAGAGTGCACAACTTGCATTGGATTGCAAAGAACAGTGCCCAAAATTGCATTTGTGCGAAATACTGAATCTCCAGTATTTAAATACAATTGACAAATACATTAGCCAATAAGTAATTAAATACAAAATACCAAGTTTTTAAACACGTATTTCAAATAATTGTATTTGAAATACTGCCTATCCCTGGTTGCTGGCATGTTTTGTTATTGTAGAGTCACTGCTTGTCTTCAGTTTCTTATTCTCTTTGTTCCTTGTGCCCTCTACAGTTTTCGGTGGGATGAGGCAACCTAGCATCACTGACATCTTGAAACAGCAGGGCGGGTCTTGGGCTTGGCCGTCCCCCAGCACAAGGTCACTGCCTTCTGTTGTCGCACAATCTGCCGAAGCACTGAAAGCTCATGTCACGCTACAAACTAGACAGCTCATGCTGGAGACAGAACTCAAAGATCAAACCCAACGGTATAAAAATGGCACCGATAGTAATATCGCATTGTGTAGCACAACAAAACTAGGCGGTATCAACATCTGCAGCTGAAGGAAGCGTGAAGGAGCAACCTATTTCGTTTCACAATAAAGGGGCATGAAAATGAAAGTTTAGCACTTATTTCTTCACCTAAATATGACCTAACAAATACAAAAAACTCAGAAACACCAGCCATTGGTTCGAAAACGTGAAAAAAGCTGCCACGAAACAAATTTAACTATTTAGAAACCTCACTTTACAGATGCCTCTGAAGCTTCACTGAAGTGTCCCAATGTCATCGAACCCTTTACAGCAGCGATGCACAGCAAGGGTATGGTGTACTAGTCTATATGAATCGGGCCTGTACACGAGTGTGAGAATGGCGAAGTATGCCGCCGTTGAGTAGGCCACGCTGGGCTGCATTCGCAACCTTCGTACAGCTGCTCGTGTCGACAAAATTGACGACAGGTAGCCGTCCCCTTTAAAGATTGCTTCGCAGGATGGATCAAATGTTCACAATCATTCTACACAATTACAGCGAGACGCCCGGTCCACCAGTTTGTGAACAAGGAACTACCGAAGCTGTCCATATCGCCCATTCGTCGCATCCCAAGCTTGCGCTGCAATCGTTTCTGTAGTAAGGACTTCAATACGAAACGAGAGCAAAGGCACTAAGTGGTATGCGGAACAAACAGGCGTGACTTGACCGAATAACCGCATCGCCTGACTGCGATCTTGCTGCGCACCAGCGGGCACAGCTGACCGACGTTGTCGTCGTAGCAATAATCTTTGTGTTGACGCGATATTCTACACACAGAACCGCAGGCAGCCTGCAGTGCGAGCACTTCGCAAACGCATTGGTGGCGGTGAAGATGGTGCAGTCACGCAGTTCTTCGATCCTCAGTCACCTCGACAAGGAAGGTCGTTGCGCGTTGGCACACCAAGTGGAAAAGTTCACAACGGTACGCTTGGCACTGCCAGACGCGATGACATCACGGGCACACCGGATCTCCCGAGACACATCGCACACTTTTCGATGGCAGGTTTTAAAGCGCTCGCCAAAATCCGGGATTAAGAATGAAAAATATGGCCATTAGCCGAAAATACAAGCGCATAATTATCATTTACAGGTACTATTGATCCGATCAGACTCATTTCTGAACATTTTTAAGTTTTGATTCAGCATCCCTTTAACGAGAGTATGCAGCAAAGGCTAAAGGCGCCGACGTATCGGCCTGTTGGAAAGTGCTTCACCTATGCGTGCAGTACAGTTATAGCTACCTTCACTGGGTACACTTGCTACAGTGGGGCAGAACAATGGACTAAGAGACAGAAGCGGCAAACGTTGTGGCCACATAACTTCGGGATGGGTCCAACGAGGCACGCGTTGCCATATCCCCACTTCGAGGAAGTAGTGCCAAGCCTTAGGCTGCAGTCATAATGCCCATACACTAAGAAAGCTACGGTGTTTGCTGCGGACATGCCTCATGCAGGTTCAAAGCAAGTCTGCTTCGTAGGTAAGTGTGCTCCAAACATTGTTGCAGACAGCTTTTGTATGACCGATGTGTCGGGGAGGAAACGCGCCTCAGACACAGACGGTCCTCTGTGCCATGTATTTGGAATGGAATCGAAGCTCGAGTAAACCCTTCGCATCAAGCTCCTGCCCGGGGGGCGAGCTCAGCGCGCTGCCTCGCGCGCTTTTTTTTTTTTTTTTAAGCACAAGGCAGCACCGACCAGGCAGGGCCCACGCCGGTTGGGTCAAGCACCTCTGACGGGGGGGAGGGGGGACCGCAAAACAGCGGGACGCGTCAGAGCGTCGGCTCCCCAATCACGCAATGGCAGGGCAACGCGGTCCTACCAAGCGCACGGAGTGAGGGTGATGACGGAAGGCCAAAAACAAAACGGAGTCGAAAAAAGGTGCCCGCTTTGTCTTAAGTACCGCCCCTACCACCACCCCCTACCAACAGAAGCGGTGATTCACGCTTTGTCACGTTTGTAACAGCACGTTGCTCCCGAGGAGCAACCCGAGCTTTCGTCGTGCCGTAGACCTCGTGTGACCAGATTAGTGCAGAACTCGTTAAAGCAGTTAATCAATAAAGAGCTCGTCGACGGGCGCCCTACACCTAGGAAATTGAACGCAAGACGAGCTGGAGTTCGGGCGGAAAGAGCAAACAAACAAGAAAAAAGAGCTTGGCCGATTTGAAGGTGCAACAGACGACTGCCCCCCACTGGCCGCGTTTTGCGGGCAATCTCGGTAAACTGTGGCGCACTTTTCAACGATTCAGCACACGTCTGACGGCGACCGTGTAGCGGTGCTCGCTCAGCCGACCACGACTCCACTCCGCCCGAGCCGCCTCGGAATCCTCCCCCGTCATCCATCGAAGAATTACAACAAAAAAATGCACGCCGCGTTCGCGTTGCCCGCAGATTTACGAGGTCGGGGAAAGGTGCGAAGGACAGCCGAAGTAGCATTCGAGCGTCGAGAGTTTCCAGTCGGCAGAAGAAACAGTCGCGGTATTGGGAAAGCAGAGGTGTAGTGGGCGTATTTTTGCGGGTTGTCACACGGGGTTCCCCGCCGCGGCCGAGCGCAACGCCTGCCGTTTCTGATCCGCCGAGATGTGAGCGAACGCACGGGGCTCACCCTGAACGCAATTTAAATCCCGGGGCCCGATGAATCGCCTGTCACCGCGATAAAAAGCAGTCTGCTAGGCCTATTCACTTAGGCTTAGAGCGATCTCTGTTACACGTACGAAACAGTTTGGGGCACCACACAGCGACCGACTCGCCAGCTTTCTTCGCCGAAAGATCGAGGCACAAATTGCGCGGCGAACCCGCCGAGACGGAACAAGAGTGGAAGTCGCACTTACCTAACGAAAATCTGGAGAATCCGCGACGTCCGAAAATTGGTTTAAAAAACCCAAGTAGGAAAAATTTTTCACACGCAGTTGGTATCCCCCTCGTTATCCACCACCCTCGAAAATTTAAGCCGAGTCACAACCGATGTCCTTGTCCTGTAACCTTCCGCGCCAGGCGGGTCCAGAAGTGGAAACGTTGGCGACGACGGGCCAGATTCGAAGCTTTCCGACAAACTCCGGTTTATCTGGTGCGGACTGCTACGGCGTCATTCAGAAAAATGTAGCGAAACGCGCTGACTCGCTGCACGCTAAGAAAATGCCGCGGACTACGTTTTCTGGGCAATCTCCGCTTCCGCCGGACTCTCAGAACTCTGGTCGTCCTGGCGGACAAGGCGGACAACAACATTCCGTGATATCATCCGTTTGAGATGTTCAAGACCCCGTGGCCTACTACGTCACCGCAGCCGGACGTAACAACATTTGATCGTACTACTAATTTATACAAAATAAAAATATATTTTATTGTGTACAAGGCGAAGACGCACCAGAGATAAAATTAATGGTGTACGGTTTAAATTGCCGGCAGCCGTTGCCTAGCAACGTTGAGTTTACAAATGGCGGTCGGTTGTATGTTTTTCGTTTGACCCATTTAGAAGTTTGATAGAAAAGGTATAGAAAAGTGTGATAATGCAAAAAAATTCAGGGGTGTAGATGAGTTAACGAGAGACAGAATTTAGGGCAAGTAAAAGGAGTCATGTAAATGTAAACTTTTCAAGGCTAGGCGATGCAAGTTACCGCCCAATATAAAATGTATAGCCGATATTATAATTCCATCCGTTCATTGCGCCCACCGCATTCGTTTTTTGGCGGCGGACGCGGTGGAGAATGGAACAGCTAAACGAGGTAATTTTGATCATTTTTATTTCATAAGACGGGCCATTGCTTATCAAACAAGACTTCTCGAGCTCGTCGTGTTTGCTGCTCAGAAGACTTGTAAGCGCTAACAGAGACAGAAACGGAAGGGGACCGCCTGTCAGTTGTTCTTTTGTATCCCCCTTTGTGTGTTTCTGCTTGCGCTTACAAGTTTCCTGAACATTGCTTGTCAACTTAAGTGGAAAACGTCGAGTTGCGGTTTGCGTATGCAAGTAACGTAACAAAATGTTGTGTTGTGCAATCAACTAGATGGGAGCGCAGACCACCGTCACGAGCTATCAAAACCAATCTCATGATGTCCGAATGTCAAGCGACCTTCGGAAGCGGTGCAGCGACGCGTGGGCTAGCGTGATGCATTCACAATGTAGTATGCTGCAGGTTAAGCACTTCCATGGAGTGCATAAACATATTTACATCATAGTAACTTTGTTCCAGGATTTGCTCAAAGTACCCAGGAAGGCGCATGTTGAGAAGATGGAAGCCGGAAACTACTGCCAGTTTGGTTTCAAGAAGACACTGCGCAAACAATAAATTTAGGAAATTATGTAGTCTTTTTTTACCCCCATGCAAACAGAAAATTAATTCAAATTGGTTGGTTTTTCAAGCTGTTTCACGCACCTGAGACACTCTCCAAATTGCTATTCCCCTTTTGTTCTGTATGTCTAATCCCACAGTATTTTACATCTTGCCTTGGTGAACGGGCCACAGACGGGGGCATCTGTTTTCTCAAAGGAAATGGGAATGACAAAAATGTCATGGCTAAACTGTGCACAGGGATGCCTGCACAATGTTTATTAAAGGGGCCTCAAAACAATTTATTACTATCGTTAAATGATGCTTAGAATGAATCCCCCAACATTCATAACTAGGCTTTCCACTTTCCAGTTTTGACCGAAGAATGCCGACAAATATCAACCGGTCACGAAGATACAAGATCGGTTAAAACCGAAAAACACCGGTGATTGAATATTTTCGCCCCGAGTAAAACTGAAAAACACCTGTCGTCGATTGTTGTGCATTCTTGGTCAGCTCCACAACTTTTCAGAGGTCAATATCTACACTCCCTTCACCCTTAAGCTGAGACTAGAAGCTCTGCTTTCAGCACGAGCTCAATGGCTTCCGCAGTTCTTTGATTGCAAGTGCCTGCACTTTCACACTTGTGTTAGCAAGGGCAGAAAGCTGGCGCTGACTTTGGAGCTTCCTAGTCTCAGCTTAAGGGTGAACAGAGTATAGATAGGCGTCATATCAAAGTAGTCACGACTTGCAAACAGTGGTTACAATTTTCTCGGGTTGACCTAATCATGAAGTGCCGAAAGGAATGCCGGGAATGGCATGTAGCAGCCATAGGATACGCAAAAATGCAGGTGTGCAACTGAGCTGCTTTTCTCCAGCATCGCACGGTAGATGCTGTGGGGGTAAAGGGGGCATACAGGATGTTCCCATAATTCACTAAAGCCTTTTGAGATTCTTGCGTCTAGGCTACTGGAGCAATCAGCTGCAAGGGGATGTCCGGAATGAGACATGTTCGCCATGCTCATGCTACAGCTGCTGATGGAGTCCGTATCGTTTCGTCGCAACACATTTTGTGGACAACTTTTCGTGGATGCATGTTTCATTGACGCTGGCATTTCGGGGAGACGTGCTCCTGTGACGTTTCATTGACAACATAATTGTTTTACTAATCGTATTTGAAAGCCGCTAAAGGCTAGTGTGCGATTCACTGAGGTGTGTTTAGGCCCGCTTCAGACGGGGCAATTTCACCCAGCAACTTCACGTCGCAACACGGGCTGCCCACGTTCACACGCAGCAACCGAATTGCTACAACTTACCATCATCATCATGAAACTTTAGTTTTCTTGCACTATTCAGACGCACAGCTACGCGCTAAAAACATGTTTTTATATCTTTGAATGGCGTTGAGAATACTAACTCGTCTTTTTGAAAAGGCTTATTTTCAAGAACGACCCATTTCAAACCAGAACTAAGTCCTTAGCTGTCATCATCACCACCACGAGGGTGTCACGTGAAAAGATTGCGTCCCCGATTGGCTGCTGCCGCCTCAAACGTCTCCGAGTAGTTCGAGTTGCTCGTCCGTTTCGAGCCGGACCCAATTTCAGCAATTCGCGTCGATCTAGGGAAAGCTAGGGAACAACCCGCCAGCAACCCTGAAATTGCTGGAAAAGTTGCCCCATCTAAAGTGGGTCTTATCTAAGCCTAAGGGCCCCCTCCTCTCTTCCCCCCCTTTATAAACCAGGCGAGACGCAAAAAGTTTGTTGCGAAAACTGCAGGACTATGCTCAATGAAACGTCTCAAGGTGTTGATGAAAAACTTGGGAAGCCTTTCGGTGAAACCAACTGTCGATGAAATGTCGCATTTTGACGAAATAATCTGTCATTCAAACATTCCACAAACTCATTGCCACCATTTCTGATGGGGTGTTCACGTGATCGGGCCGCTTTTCCAGTGGGGCTCCCGCAGCAAGACCATAACAGTGGCAGCTGATATGACATCAATGCAAGCCACATATAGGTACTCGTCTACGTTTCTCCGTTCTACTACTAAACCCAACTACTGACCTGCACTGTATTTTCAGCAGAATTGGCTCACATTACATCCATTTGAATTCGCCAGCAGTTTGTAACTTTAGCATACTGCAAAGCATTTTCTTTTCTGTATGTTCGATCTGCATCAAGTACAAGCCGTTGCTCACAAGAAACCAGCATCAGGCTTGCTCTCTCCTCCACTGTTCCACCAGCGAACAAGTTCACATGCAGAGTGATGGATTGCGAAAGATAATTCTTTAATTACTCTACACATATAAAATGCTTGACAATGTAAAAAAATGCACTCTGCAACAGTTGATTTTATTAAAATATCCAAGGAATACCGCATCGTTGTCACTTTGAATCAATTGCCGCGATAAATTGATAAAAATGTATGATGTCGGACTAAGCTCAACAATTTCATTAAAACTTTTTCAACGAGCAAAATGACACAGAAGCCAACGAATTGGCAAGAGTCGACGCATCCAACGCCGTAACTAAACGAAATGGAAACAGAACATTGGTAATTGTTCAATACTCTCAAACTTATTGACTAGCACGCTGATCATAGAAAAAAACGACACAAAAAAAAACTATATACGCTCTAGCAGACTAAATTCCCCACAAAGCACACTATGAAATAGCTCGCATTTATAAATTAAGTACAAGCAATATAATCCTTTGATGGCACACACCTCAAATGCCTCAAACTTGAGACTGTGCAACGAACACATCACTTAAAGAAAATCATCGGGTTGTCAACCGAGGTAATTCGACTGTACTGACTACAAAGGGGACTAGACCATCGCAGACACCCAGTATAAAAGCACATCCACAAGAAGCCGATTTCAGGACAGACGCCCTCGACACCATTGAACCGTGTTTCGCGGACGCGCCTTTGTCTTTCCGTCGACGCTGGTTTCGCAAGAAATATTCCAAAGTGGAATTTCAAAAGACACCCGCCTTATTTATTCGCATGCCCATAAAGCTACTGTCAGACAGCTCCAGACATTGTCTGAGGCATGTTTCTTTTTTTGTAAGAAGATCCATTGGTCGTACAAAAACTCAATAGACGTGTTGGAAGCATACGCACGCATGTGCTTTGAACCAGCTTGAGGCATGTTTGCAGTCAGTCTTTTGTACGACGAACAAGCAGGGTGGATGAAGGCTTTAGACCGTCAAGTACTGCTCACCAACTGTGCACGTGCGAGTTTCATACTTTGAAAAGACGAAAAATCAGTACTGCACACACAATTACAAATAAACTGCATCCGACTAAAATTTAGACAAAAATTTTGGGGTTCGCGACAGCTACGTGGTTGTACAAATATTGATGGACAAAACTCGCAGCTGGCCATAATTTCAACGTCGGACGACCCTGCAACATCACACCCTAACGCCGTTTTCAAATATGTTTCAAACAAACCAAAGGTCGACGAAATGACTTGTCCCCGAAACAGGTCCAACGGATTCGCCGTCATCCTTGCAAGCACACTAAACAATAGGCAAGTGCTGTGACCAGGTGCTTTTTTTTTGGGCTATATTGTACAAACAGTTCCCTGCATCTGGTTACGGTTTCAGAGCCTAGCTCGGGACTTTTGGCACGCGATTTGGGAAGGAACTATATGCGATGACGCAATACCAGTATTGTCGTCTTGCAACAACGCAGCAGTAGTCTTGTCAATAGAGCACTGTCAGCAGTGCACAGTAACTGAATAACCTTTTAGGAGAGTCCAGCACACAAAATAAACTTGAACACTGCGGTTCACTGAATTGAGCCATTGGTTCGAGGATCCGTAACTGAATCCAAAAACAGACAAATCGAGGCCAGCTGTCACCGCTGAACACAAACGAAAACTTTATGCCGGCTGCATCGTGCACCATCCTCAATTTATGAACAATACAAAGTGAATTAAAAAAAGTTCCCTCTCTTCAATGTCTCTCATGTCGGTTATTAAGACCTAGTCGTAATGTAGACCAGCCACCGCTTGCTTTAAAAAAAACCTAAAAAAAAAAAAAAAATTTTTTTTTTTTTCACAGTTTGGTTGGGACATATCAAAAAACAAATTTTATGCGAAAAAAAGTTTTTTACAGCAATATTGACGGCGCGAGACGCGATTTAGTCGGTAGTCGTCTCCTTTCCACTTGTTTTCTCTCTCGGCATTTCGGGTGCGGGGAGGAGAGGTGAATCAACTTGGCCATCGCGTTGAGGTGGAGAGAGGGTATGACCATCTCGTTGTGGACTTAGCACGCAAAATTTGAAATAAATCTCGTGCCGTCAATATTGCTCTCAAAATTTTTTTTCCCCCTAAAATTTATTTTTTGACACGTGTGTCCCGTCCAAACTGTTTAAAAAATATATATATATTTTTTTTTCTTTCAGGGTTTTTTAAAGGACCAACTCCCCTTAATTCCGAAAATTTCGGGATATTGACCAATTTTGCGTTGAGACATCGCAACGAACGCTTCTACATCATTTGTTTACCGGAAAGGTAAACACTTATGCAATCTAGCTTTAGAAGCGATTGAAAACTGCAACAGAATCTTTGGCAGCAACGGGCAACAATGGCTCCAAATTTGGGCACACCGACTCGATACAAATGGTTACGTGATCCACCAAGTTAACAGGCACGGTGCAAGTGTCGTCTGCACTAGAGGCATTAAATAAACTATGCTTTAGAGTCTTGACACTTCGGCCATCTTGCTCCTCATTGCCTATAATCTGAAGCTTTGTCCAAGATCGCAGGAAAAGCTTTTCCACCTTCCGGAAATGTTAAAAAAGTCCGTGACGGAGCAGGACGACGTCGCCCAAACATTTCCCCACCGTATCTAAAGCTCGGAAGTTGCCTTTTCCCATCGCAACCATCGCCAATTGTGCTTACTCCCTCTGCACTGGCGAACAAAAATGGCCGCACCCGCGGGACGATCAGGGAACGGAGTGTCGCTACTTTAAGGTGTCGCATATTTAGTGGCTCTACAGTCTGTTGCAGGTTAAGAAAAAGTGGGACAAACTCCTCTCACAAAATCTCCCACTCTTTTCACTTTAGCAGAGTGGACGCCGGAGAGGAGGAGGTCGCCAACCGTGGCGAGCAAGGAGCTTTGCAAGAGGGGCTCATCCCGCTAGTATTCTCGACCCGCAACAGACTGGGACCCGTGTCACAGTAGGCCCTGCATTTGACAGTGCCTGTACCACTGCAGCCCGTGTGTGTGTCGCTCGGGGAACATAATCGAGATTTGTAAGCAAGCTGCTACTGGGACTGTCGGAAGTTAACGAGAGTGCGCTCTCGACGGCTGCCGCGGCGCGTTTACAAGGCAGCAGGTCCCGCAAAGCAGGACGCCTCCGTCACCGTCCGTGGATTTTCCTTAAAAAGCAAAGAACAGCAAAAAATTGTAACGTCTTCGACGCAGGTCACCGCACCGTATGTCGCCCACCGAATTTATCAGATTTCGTTGACTCTGTAAGTGTCAAACTTTCTTGGTCATTTAAAGTACATTTAGATGCAAATATGTCGTCATGCTCGACTTGAGGATTTCATGGGTGATTCGAAGGAGAACTACATTGTTTTCTTCACGAGCAAAATCGAGCAGAGTTGCCCTTTACAAGCACTAAAAACAATGTTGCGCAGTTCTGGTAAAGAAACCGACAAAAATAACCTGGCAAATGGAGGATACTATTGTCTCCGAGGAGCTTGGCGGAAAAACAAAGGGCACTGTTTCACGCACCACTGTAATATATACGCGAGATTGGCATTACTTAGGGGACGACGCGACCGCGCATTTGTGTCATTCCCAAGCAACCCAAGTGTTCGGTAGTCTTCAAAACGTTTGACCTCCAGCTTACTTGGAGCATTACAGTTTGTTCGACGATAAGGTCTTTGTCGTAGAGACGCCACCGTTACGTCTTTGCCCAAAACCGCGCTGCTCGTGCACGTCCTGCGGCGATCAAAATACCGCCCAAGAATGTGGCTGCATACTCTGCAGCCATTCAAAACCGTTCCTGCAAGCAGCAGAAGCACAACAGCAGCCAAAGAAAACAAAGTGCATTCCCAAGAGGTTCATGTTCACCGGCATCCCTCCAAGTGCTCAAAGTGCCCCACAAATTGCTTTGCATCTTTTAGTGAGACGAGAAAAGGGTGCGAAATGAACTGTGTTTTACGACGCGAGCCCACGCAAAAAAAATATGGCGTCGCGGCATGAAATTGTTGCACGTTGTACGCCACATTGTTTGAGTCACAACGCCAACGTCGGGGTGGCAATGTTACTCCCCACGCCGATTGTGGCACAAAATGAAATGCCGTACGTTAATTCGGGTGTGGGGTTTTTCACTTCTGGATAAAACTAAGTTTTACCCAGTATTTAAGACTTCGGACGCGCCTCACAATAACTGAGCCTCACTCAACCGCTTAGCGGAAACCGGAATTGAGCACCGTCGATGCGTTTGAACCACATCGTACAAATGCATATAAGGTCGTAACAAGAGCAGCGTTATTCGAGCAAAGATAAACGCCTGAAATTGTCCGAAGCGCGAAAGGTCAATTTGTGACTTCAAGATTATGTCTTCAGACTGGTTAGGTTTCGACCCACCCCAAACAAAAAGTGCAACCCAACTCTTTTCTGAACTTTATCGAGGTGAAACTTGTAACCAGAGAGCCCAGTTTATTTCTTACGGCTCGGTCAATACTCTGCCGACGTCGCGATCTGGTAGTTAATTTACCGTGTTCGGGTCCATCCTAAATACAGGTACTCTACTAAAGACGGCCAGTACATCAATAAAAACTGCAGCTTGGTTTGGTAATGCTTGACAAAAGTCTTGGTACACAGATTATGTGCACAAACTTTGTACATAGAGCACACAAAATCTGCCAACTCCGCAGTGAACATACGTTTTGACATTACACTTTGGTGGAGTGGGGCAAGCCCAAGAAACTATTCTACGTTAAAACTTGTATCGCATCCTCTTGTTGTTGTCCGCAACGAAAGGGTCTGCTAATCTGCACGGGCACTTCCCCATTTCAAGCACATATAAAAATGCAAAGCTTTTGACCACATTTCCCTTTGAAGGCCTTCATCGTATGATTCTCGTGAAACCTTTAAACTACCCAAGAGCCAAACGAGACGCACATTAGTATTTTCCTAGCTGCCCCAACAGCCCACAACAATGTTTTAGTGCTACCCGAGGTAATTTAGCGATAAGCAACGCAAACGCCTGCTTGTCTACTTTACCGAACAACGCAAGGAGGATCAATCGTTGCGGTTTGTGGAAGGAGACCGACCATTAAGGAGACGGAGGCACCACTTGAATCTAAAACAGAGAACCTCTACATCCAAATTAATTCAGATAAAAAAGTTAAAAAGTTCTACATCTGTGATTTTGCTACACGAGTTAGTACCTCGAATGCCTGTACGATTGACTTCACTTGTCACGCCTGCAGGGCACATTTTCGGGCCCAAAAACTATCTCCGGCATATCACTCACTCTTCTTACTGCAAATAAATGCCTTCCTTACATTGCAAAGCATGGTGTACATGCAGGATTAGTTTGTAAAAAGGGTTGTGCCGTATTTTATGGTCCGTTGCGACTCAAGCTGTCCATTAGAAGCTCTATTGCCAGTGCAAGCATCCCACCTTAGACAGCTTGACAACACACACTTGGCCCAAACATAACGAATCAAATAAAATTTGGGGGTTTTACGTGTCAAACCAACCAAAGTCATCTGGCACACCTCAGCGAAGGACTGAGGATTCATTTAGACTGCCTCGAGATGTTCTAACATGCAACCAAAATCTCGGTTATGCAGCGCCTTCTCCGCACTAAGCCTCCTTTGGGATTGCTGGTACCTCGGCTGGGATTCGAACACGCCAACTGGGGATCCGCAAACCGAAGCTCCGCTACGGAGCCGCCAAGGCAGCTCCTGAGCACAACGAAAGGCTACGAGCACGCGCTGGAAACATAGCAGCTCCCGCAAATCTTGCGTCGCAATAGACTACAGTAAGAGGAGGTAACTATTTCCTCAGTTCCTTTTAAAGAACCTCTCGGCACAATTTGACCTCGAACACGGATTTGTCGCAAAACGAAAGCCGTCTACAATTCCGTCTGCCGTCCTTCTTTGGGGCGCAGGGCTTTCAAAGCCAGACTGCAAAAACGGCTGCGACACGCCGAGACTCCCTTCTGGGCAGAATGAGAAAGTGGGAAGGTGTAAAAAAGGGAGAGGGTGGTGAAGGGGCGCAGGCTAGGTCTTGGGCCCCTTGAGGGAGTTCTGGAGGCGGTAGAGCAGCGTGGTCTTGGGGATGCCGAAGCGCCGTGCGGCCGTCGTCATGGGGATGCCTTCGGCAAAGACGGCGCTCAGCGCCTTCTGCATCTGGTCCTCCGTCCAGCCCGAGTTGCGCCCGCCCCTTGCCGGAAACAGCGACTGTGCACCTGCGAGGACCCAGACGCCAACACTGCTGTTGGCCTAACTACTCCACTGTACATATACAGCGGCAATTGCATATTTGATAATGCCCGCCTAAACGCAAAACTGCACCCACCAAGGGAGGTATTTCTATTTGTTTTGTCTTTGGCAGACTTCGAACATTCTATTTGCAAAGTCTTTTGCATTGCTGGGGCTATTTATAGACCTTTTTATTTGACAAACACGAGCCGTCTTGCCCCCCAAAAGACTTCAAGTCACGTTGCTTCGGCGGGCCTTCCGAGCCTGTTGATGTCGAAATTCCTGGGACGACGACGTCCCACAGAAATCACAAAGTTGGGGACTTGACGAGGTCCTTCTCCTGTGCTATTCAACACATAAAAGGGGATTGGTCGTCGTACGGGTGCATTAAAAATCTCCAACAAATCTCTCACCAACCCGTCCTTAAGCTAACCATCTGGAGAACTGGTCATAAAATATTTCACGAACGATGCAAGTAGCGTTGCTATGGTGGGGATTGTTTGCCCTCTCACTTGACCAGAAGTTTGCAGGGACGCGAATTGCAAAAGCGGCTCTTTTTGGCGCTTTTACAAAGATGGTCTATGGTTTTTAAATAGGACACCCTGCGCACACAGTACGCTCGAGGTTGTCGCTTCGCATGTGGGCTGCTTTGGTGCTTGTGGCGATAGGAGTGTCAACTCTCCCGATTAAAACTTTCAATGCATTTCAGAATTGAATTCTGAGGATCAGAGCTTACTGCCAGACAAAGAAGCTCTGTAAAGTACCTCAGGTTCGGAATACGATGCTGCCAGAATGTCGTGGAAGTGGATGCGCCAAAATAAAACCAAATGGAAGAAAGCTGACAACTTTATGCCCTTAATATTTCCATTTGATGCTTCTAAACCCGAACAGCTTGCAAGCATCGTACGTGCTTCCGCTAGATAATTAAGGAAACAAACTTTTGCATCTATCCTTTCTTTATACTGTTCCTTAGGAAACAAATCCTGACCGCCAGAAAATATCTTTTAGGAAGAAAACTCGACCGTCACGGTGCATAGAGTATGAGGGCTGTTGTTTTTTCAACATTAAATGAACAAGGTAAAAAATATCAGGACAGATGAAAAATATTTTAATGCATACAGAATGCAGATATGCACCCTAACTACTTGTCTACACAACCATCACACAGATTGAGGCAGCTATTATGATGCGCGGCAATCTTCTGGATTCCCTCCCCAGAGAAGGTTGCCATGGGGTTCTGAAATGTTTCCTGATTTTGCGAGAGCCACAGAAGATCCTAACCACCTAAGGGAATTATTCTTTCGACCTTGTTGCTCGCGAGTGCTTGTTTTTCCTACCCAAGTAAGCTCATCTGCAGAATTAAGACACACTTATTTCAAATGCATAGCATTTATAGGGTCAGTTACAGCACCTTGCGTCCGAGTCTGAACAGAATGTGCAGTCATTGAGTGCTCTTGGAGCGGGAACTTTCCTCAGTGTGCGCTCAGCAGCAGCAAAGTGGACTACAATTCAATTCAATTTTTATTTGATGAATTGAATTTGTTTCTATATTCTGGGACAGGCTACTTAAAACACAAGAAATCAATAGAATGTATTAGGGTTGTGGAAATACATGAATGTTCAAACAATAGTTTCGAATTGTACACTATTCGATATTCGCTTCAAGATGAACTGCGATATTCAGACTTGCCTAATTGTTGATTGCGGTGGGTTTGCCCCGTTGAGTGTGCTTCTCAGCGAGCACTAGTGCACTGCAAGGAAGCAAAGCTCGCGAGCTCCGTGAGTATTGCTTCCTTGCGGCGCACAAATGCTTGCTGAGAAGTGCCGCAGCTATGCAGGAGTATATGCTAGGCAGCGATGTCTCGACAACCTGCGTTCATCATTCGTGCGTGTTTTCTTTTTGTTGATGTCGAATTTGAAACTGAAGACAGAATATTTACACGGAGCGAGCAGGTTCATAAATAAACTCGATTAGGATAGCTGCGACAAATCTGAGAGCTTGCACAATGAGTGATTACAGGATAAAGCTATGTGTAGAATAAGACACCAGGAAAAGGAACATTATGCTAGACGTTTAAGAATAAAGAATGCTTACTCTTCTTCGTTATAACACCTGATATTTGGACGATGGCTCCTGGACGCCGTTCAAGGAGGATAACCCTTCTCGCCTAACAGTGCCCTCTGGTGCCACCAATAGTTCTGAGGTATTCAATCCTTGATACTGATTTTAATAAAGAAATCGGCCATGCATGAATGTAATGTTTGCTTTTTTAGGATGCTTAGAGCCGATAGATTGAGTTACGACCGTAAATAGACTGTTGCAGGAAGTGGTTTAGTGCCCCTCTAAGTGCCAGTTCACAGAGAATCCATCCAGTGCAGTGTGTAACGCGTGCAACTGACTGGTTTTGGGCAGACGGGAGCAAAGACGTTTTAAACACTATGCACTTAAAATGCCTTTGGAAAGTTCCAAAGAGTCGGTAAATTTTTCCGTCGAGGTCGTCATACTGACGGTAACTGAACGAGCCATAGCCGGAGCCGAGTCCGCTCACTCTGGCTGGAGCCACTGCCCGAGCAGGAACTCTCTCCCGACGTGGCCAAGGTTGCCAGCACCGCAGAAGCATCGCCTTCTGCCTCGGGCAGCAAAGACGCGGGGCCGGCTCCGGACTGGGACTCGAGCATCTTGGCCGTGGCGAGCAAGCTGAGCTGGGACGATGCCGGGAACAGCTTCTGGTGACAGTCCCCGTCAGGGAATGAACTGTCCGGCTGCACGGGGACGAGAGGCACGGGCTGGAGCAGACCACACCCTTGCACGGGGACGACGGCGAGACGAGAAAGACGATGCGACGTCCAGAAAGAGGCGCAAACCAACAACTAGCTAGCTTTCTCTCCGCAAAAAAGTAGAAAAAAAAGAAAACGAAAGCAATGATGGCAGAATTTGCAAAACAGTAGTTTGTTTTTTATGCAAGTTTTCTTAATATTTTCCACTTCTCTAGCCCTTTTTCCCTCATTCTTCACTTTTCGCTTTTTTTCCACTTTCGCATAGAAAGAAAAAAACAGGTGTTAGTTTGGGCTCACCTTCTGTACGTTGCGTCGTCCTTCTCGTCTCGGGGTCGTTATTTGCAATCCACAGTTTAATGAAAGCGTGAAAAACCAATGAGCCCAATCCCCAGCTCCGACAAACTAGCCGAGCCCAGAGCCGCTAAATAAGATTGATGCTCCATTCCATTACCGTCTCGTGAGCGCTGCCATTTTGTTACCTCGTGCAAAACGGGCACGGTTGGCGACGGTTACGATTGGGAAATGCGACTTGTTAAGCTCAGAAACGCAACGTTCATGACACGGCAGTCCACCGAAGTGGTCGATTCCACCGACGCCACACGACGGCCAGGTTAACGGGAAGTCTGAAGCATTTCAACTATCGTATTTTCCGGTGTCTAAGTTGCAGTCTTTTTTCAACATTTTTCTTGGTGCATCTTATACAACAATGCAACTTATTCGCATTTTTTAATTTTTTTTATTCATGGTACAACACAATTTTGTTTATGCGCCGCGCGCCATCTATTGTAGAGCACCGTAACTATGTAGCCATAGGTGGTGTTGCCCCTTCCAGGAAATACTGCTGTCGCCGCACTCTTCTACACTTTTCATACCTGACTCAGAAAGGGAGAAATTTTACGGATCCACCGGAGTCCCCTCTCTAGGCACAGCTCGTTTAGGGGACAAATGCTCACCCCGTTGTCTCCTCCGGCCAGGGCCTGTTCGAGGAGCCGGGAGGGCTCAAACTCCGGCTCGCTGCTGGGGGCCTCGGACGCCTGGCCGCTGCACTTGAGCTCCTTCATTGAGAGCAGGGCCTCCAGCACAGAGGAAGAGGCCGCCCTCCGCGGTGGGCGAGCCCGCTCCGGCGGACTGTGGGCCACCGATCCAGCGTGTGCCGAGGGCGGCAAGGACCCCTCGCCCTCCGTGGAATTCTCTCCGTCCGGTTCCTCGTTGCTTGAAGCTTGGGACTCTGCAACACGTTTCAATCAATCGACCAAACAATGAGTCACCTGTCAAGAGGTCAGTCAATTAATCAATCAACTGTGAATATTTTTGTGGCCTGTGGCGACGCATGTTTGTGTGGATTCCCTACTTGCGCTGTTATTTTTGAGACAAACCAGTCAATCCCCCAGTCAATCAATCAATCAAACAATTAACTCTTTTGTGATCGCACCCATAGGCCATCGATCGCCAGTGATCGGTGGTTTCCAAGGGTCGTCAAAAAATAAAAGTTAGTGCGGAGAATTATGTTCCACAATCTTGTGGATAGCCGAAGATCTGTAGTTTCAGTTTCAACTTAAGTCTGAGCTTTATCACAAGCTGGTGAGCTGTCAAGAATAGTCCTAAAAACGGTGGCACAAGGCACCTAAAAAAAAGGCAATAATAGTGATGTTCGGAGTCTACAAGAAATTAACAATTTTCATTGGACAAATTTTATTTGCTGGGTTTACACAAGTGCGATCCAAGCGCATTGAATCGAGATGTGACCAGCCAGATTCAGCCGACCCTCCTCTTGCACCAGTTCGGTATGATTACAACTGTGGGATCTCAATTCGATCTGCTCGAATCGCATTCATGTAAACCTAGTCAAGGAGGTGGTAGAGACCCAAGGATGCCGCCCCGCCCCGCCCCGCCCCACTTCGCCCCGCCCTACCCCGCCCTGCCCCCCCCCCCCCCCTGCCCCCTTCCCCCCCCCCCCCCCCCCCCAAAAAAAAGAAGAAAATATAATAGTGCCTGGGTACTTCTGATGCTGTGAGTTTACTAAGAAATCTTGCCATTTAGAACTGGTTATTTTTATTGACTAAAGCCCAACAAACAATATGCCATCAAAAACAAGCTTCTACAAAAAAAGCATTTGAGTGAACCTTTAAGGGTTCCATACTTGAGTTCCCGTATGCTGATCATTCGATGCCCGCACACATGGCGAGATAATAGAATGCTGAAATCGTTTAAGAGATCATTTCTAGTGATCCTTACCGAATGCAAAAATATACTCAAAGGTAATGGTGTATTAGTTGCTAAAATGTTGCACATCATAACCAGAATTTTATAATCTATCACTTTATACAGCACAGGTCTCTTATAACGAACCCGGAAATAATGAAATAGCGGATATAACGAAGGAATTTCGATTTCCCGTTCCCGTTTGTATACCTGCAATGTGATTTGAGTCCACTTTTAGCGAAAAATCTCGGAAGGCCTGTGCTGATATAACAAAACAAATATTCGCCGAAATTCTTCAGATTTGACGTAGAACGTACCACAAAATTTAAGCAGAGCTAAAATAAACAAAATATAAAAAGTAGCTACAGACCAACAGCGCGCAAACCGTGCGTCTTTACAGCACATACCTCGGAGAAGTTCGGGCTGCTCGCCTCATCCCGTGCAGAAACGGGATGCTTCTACACAAGACACATGACGTGCGCAGCGTGGAAAAACCTGGAAAAACCCGTTCGCTTATCGCGTAACCATGCTGCGCATCGCCGTGCTCCCTTTTCCCGCATGGTTTTGGTTCAATCTCCTCCCGATCTCTGTTTGGATAATGTTCCTCTGCTGCTTCTCCGTTGGCCCACCATCTTGTGACCCAGACTGCCTTCCTGATTACCCTTTGACTATGAACCCAACACCAACCGCTTCTCCCTCGACAAAGACTGACTATGAACTCGGCTGAGCGCACCTAATCGCAACTGACTGGATTGCCCACGGATTTCCTTGATCATGTCAAGCACCGGCATTTCCGCCCCGAAAAGAAAGGTTCTGTCCCTAAAGGTGAAACGGGCGATTCTTTAGGAAGTTCGGCGCAATGTCAAAAAGTCGGAGATCGCCCACAAATACAAGATAGCGCCGTCGACGCTGTCGACAATCATCAAGAACGGGGACAAGATCGACGCAGCCTTAAACGACGATGCTGGCAGCGTAAACCAGGAGAAGCTCCGCAAGCCTTTGTACAATGATGTGGAAGAGGCACTGTACAAGTGGTTCGTTGACACCCACTTAAAGGCAGTTCCAATAAGTGGTCAGATCCTTCTAGAAAAGGCCCGGAACTTGGGGTTCGTTTTGAAGCATGATAACTTCAAGCCTGGAAGTGGCTGACTTCAAAGCTCCAAGGATCGTTACAGCATCACTTAAAAACACATCGTCGGCGAGGCCGCGTCTTTTGACGACGCGTTGTGCCAGGCTTGGCTCGACAAGCACCTTGATCGGATCTTAGTCACTTACGCTGATCGCGACATCTACTATGCGGATGAAACTGGTGTTTTTTATAAACTTCTGCCTGCCAAGACACTGGCATCTAAGGATGACAAGTGCGTCGGAGCTAAAGACTAGTTCACACTGCCCCGTTTTCATATGTTACGTTGCGAAAAGTCACTGGGAAATCTGTGCTTCGTATTAAGTGTGGCTACCTATTCAAGAAGCTAGCCTGGCACGCGACATTCGAGACACAAATGTTTTGGTGACTTAGACGTAAAGTAAGAAAACGGTGATGTGTGAAAAGTTGAACCGAACTCAACTCCTGACGTTACGTTACGGCGAGCCTTGTGTCCTTGGTTGCCACGGTAACTCACCATCTTAGCTCGCCGTCGCCGAAACATTCGTGTTTAGAATCTCGCGTGCCAGGCTATCTCCTTGAATTTGTAACAATGCTTAATATGAAGCACAAATTTCCCGGTGACTTTTCGTAAAATAACGTACGAAAACGGGGCAGTGTGAACGAGCCTTTAGACGAGTAAGGAACGCGTCACACTCCTAGTTTGCACCAACATGGACGGCACTGACAAGCGAGAGCTGCTGCTGATTGGGAAGTCCAAGAAACCACAGGGCTTTGCGACCATCATGTCCCTTCCCGCGATGTACGTCCAGAACGGCAAAGCATGAACGACAGTGGACCTCTTCCGCAAGCGGCTCACTGATTTTGCCGCAAACATGGCTTCACAAAATCGGAAGGTGCTGCTGATCTTGAATAACTGCAGTGCCCACCATATCAACCCACTGCTCAGCACCGTGGAGGTGCTCTTTCTGCCTCCAAACACCACGGCCGGACATCAGCCAATGGACCAGGGAGTCATAGCAAACCTGAAGGTGCACTACCGTCGCCGAGTTATTGAGCGTCTGCTCATTGACATTCGCACCGCGGTGCCACCCAAGGAACGCAAGGTTACGTTGGCCAGAGCAGTGTTTATGGCCAGCGGAGCGTGGAGAGACGTGAAGCCCGAAACCATCGCCCACTGCTTCAAGAATGGCGGATTTTCCCGGACGAGGGTTTTGGAGGCTCCTGCTGCAAGCGACGAAGTGGCGACGCCGGAGTATCTGCTGTCAACGAGATCTGCGCACTGCTGGAAAAGATGTGAGAGAGCCAGGCACAGGTCCAGCTGGTCCCGTCCGGCGTTACCCTCTTCGAGTTCGTTACGACAGAGGACGACATCGTCGCTACGGAGGAGATGACGGACGAAGACCTTGCGAATTGTGGCCTGGTTGAGGATGTGCGAGCCAACAAGAGCGACGACAACTGCCGTATGAGACCGTCGGTGTCCACCGGAACGGCGATCGCGGCAGTTGATGTGCTCCGGTCATACTTAGTTGGTGCCGGGCTTGGATGGAACATTTTCGCGCAATGGGACACATTAGAAGCAGCAATTGTGAGCACGTCTGTGAATCGCGGTGTGCAGTCGTGTGTCGACAGCTTCTTCAGTAAGCAGTAAACCCTTGCTTTAAAACATTATTTTGTTGTTTTGTTTTGTATCCAGATATAGCGAAAAACGGGTATAATGAACTGATTTCCGGTTCCCGATGTGTTCGTTATAAGCGGGCTATACTTATCTGGCAAACCCTCATCCATCGGAAAGCATAGCTCGATGAGGCAACTCCATCGTTTGTTAAGAGAAGCGCTCCAATTTAAACTATAACCTAATGAACCATAAAAATAAATGGCACAATGAGCAGAAGCAGCGTTTATCGCACCATGCTCTGCACTTCATACATTCTTGAAACGGCTACCAATGTACTAGCACGGAGTTTGGTGGAAGTTGAAAATGAAAAAGTACTAGTATCAGTTTGTTTGAGATTAGAATTGAGAAAGCAATAAAATTCTACAAAAAGGATGCGGGGTTGAAATCACAGTATGGCAAGAAAACATTGAAAGTGAGCGTTCATAAATGGAGTAAGGCATTCAAAGAGAGAAGACAATTTGTCGAGAATGGACCGCACTCCTGGCACCAGAGAATCTCGTCTGCTTCTCACGAGGCAGGTCTCAGCTGGCCACTGCTGCTCACACAAAAATAAAATACAGAAACCGAAGTGAACTGTTCTCCCAATTCTCCATCCATTCTCGATACAGCCTCGTCTAATTTTCATCAGCTTACACTTTTAAAAGTTTCTAGGGGGCAAAAATTTTGTCAATTTGCAAGGAGGAAGAATCTGTCCAAGAATTTTGCTCATATACAATACACTATAGGACCGATGGGTCTGGCGGCGGGACACAATCTAGGTTGATGAGATCCATTTGTTGTCTCTCTATTTGTCAGATAATTCATATTTGAGTGAATTGCACCCTAAAAGACAAGCAGCAAAGAAACCCTTCTTTTGGCCTCCACGGAATACAACTAGTCATGTGCAAATAGGGGATTTTGAGTTCAAAGAGAATTCAAAGCGAAGAGTGGTTTTGGTTGAATATTTTCGAATAGAATATTGAATAGCTACTCAAACTCATTCACTGCCATGCACCATGCTTAAAGGGCAACTCCCCTCAATCCGGAAAAAAAATAAAAGGCACTATGTCATTTGCTTCACGAAAAATGTGATATTTATTGTTAAATCTTACTTTAAACATGAGCAGAAATCAAAACCAAATCTTCGGCTCCATCTGGCAACATTGGCTTCGAGCCGCCAAAAACATGGTTATCACGTGGTGCGAGATGCCACGTGATTCTCCGCGCAACGACAAGCGGGATCGGGGCGGGCCGGCGGGCCACCGTTAGAGCAGGTGTGTGCCAGGTGCAAGTGTCGTCTGCACCGCACTCTTCACCATGTTTTGGTGTCTACGATATTTGACGACGTCCGCGCAACCGCAGCATCAGTCTGCGCACGTAGTGTGAACGAAACTCCGAGACAATAATCAAAAACGGTGAGATGACAACGGCGGTTGTGACGCGGGAGACGGTAATGACGGCGGGACTGGACGGCTCTCAAGAAGCGCGCTGCGCAGGCGCATTATGCCAATCACGTGGACAGAGCTGAGTGCCGAGAGAAAGCGTTGCTGACGTCACCTGTTACGCTTGCCCGGAGAAGTAAAAGCAAACAAAAGAGGTCAATGCTGATGACGTTTAGCACAATGTTGGCAGCACCAACACCATAGTCTTGAACTGCGCTGTTGGTTGCACCTCGATTCGCCCACTAGAGTCAGACGATTTCAGCAACTTGGTGATTGCAAAATTTGCGGGATCGCTTAAGAAATATTTAGACAGAACTAGGTCAAAATATTTTATGTGTGTTCTTCCTAGGTGATATTGAAGAGAACTGCATTGTTTTCTCAAAAACAAAAATGAAGCGGAGTTGCCCTTTAAGCGAAAATTCAGCTGAATTCATGAAGGGGATGCTCCCAACCTTCACAATTTTACTTGTCCACTTCTAAGCTCTGTTAATTTTAATATATAGCTATATGAACTGTGGCAAGTGATTGACAGATTTGTCTCAGCCATCCTAATTGAGGGGATTTATAAATCTGGCAAGCTATGTTCGACAAATGTTTCGTTTTTCCCCAGGCAGGAACGGAAATGGCGATATCCCGTCTGATTGGTTAGAGGCTCAAATGACGAATGTTCTCTCTTTTGTCATTTGAGCCTCTAGCCAATCAGATGTGATATTGTCAGTTCCGTCACTTCCATTTCTTTTTAGGAGAAACGAAGCATTTGTCGAACATAGCTGCCCTGCTTGCTATATGCAAATATTCTTTCTTCTATTTCAAATTTAACACAAAGAACACAAAAAAAACAAAAAAAAACAAGCATGAACGATAAATGCAGGCTGCCAAGACATTGCTGCCCAACATTATACTTTTGCATAATCGTGGTAGGTTTGCCCCTTTGACTGCACTTCTCACCGAGCACTTGTGCACTGTGGGGAAGCAATGCCCGCAAAGCCTGCAAGCGTCGCGGGTGTTGCTTCCCTGCGGTGCACAGGTGCTCGTTGAGAAGCACACCCAACAAGGCTAAACTGCCGCAGTCAACACTTCAAAAAGTAAGAATATCGCAGTTCAGCTCAAAGCAAGGAGCGTATTATTCAAAACTACCATTAAAAGATTTGAATATTAGCACAACACTTAATAAAAGAGTTTGTGGGGCATTAGGTACGTCTAAAGGTTTGATGGTCATTGCGGTACATGTACGGTGCTGTTGACACATTACAAAGTTCCCCCCTAAACAGAAAACCACGCGAACCTCAGCAGATGTTGCTATCTGGTATGCCTTTGGGATACTATGAATGTTGTATTCACAACATGTTTCGCTTTGCTGGAACCATTTTTAGCTTCAAAATTAGATGCTGAGATGGTCGCTTTGCGTGTCAGCTGCACTGGCGGTAGTGCCTATCGGAGTATCGGCCCTTCCGATTCAGACTTGTAACGCTTCTCAGAATTAAATTCAGAGGGCAAGAGCTCACTATCCGATTGAGAAGCCCTGTAAAGTACCTCCAGTTCAGAGTCCGAGACCACTGGAATGATGCAGAAGTGGGCGCGGCAAAGTGAAACTCATTGAAACAAAGGCGGCAACTTTTTGCCCTCAATATTTCCAATGGATGCTTCACTGCCTGGACAACTCGCAAGCACCATGCGTGCTCCCACGAGATAATAAAAAAATCGGGCATCGACTCCTTTTCTGTACTATCCCTTGAAGAAAAAAGAAAAAACTGCTGTAACACATTTCGAAACAAAATCCCAACTGCCAAAGGGTTGCTTGCTTATGCTTAACGATCACAATAATTATCGCATCCAGCTGCTGCACCTAGTGGCAGTCCTTTGCTGTGCATGAAAACCCACTTCAAAAGAGCAGCTCACTGCTGCAGTACTCGGTGTGCAAACCTTTCATCCGCAAGCAGCACAAACAAACCAAGTTTTTTTGCAAAAGTCGTATTTGCAAAACAATTCCATAGGCTTTTCAGGCCCCTGCTTGACAGCGCCACTTACCCTGCTGCCGTGGTGTCACGTGCTGCGGTCTGACCCGTTTCCGTTTACTGGTCGCCGCAGACTTGAGCAATCTCTTGGCGCCGCAGCTGGCGCTGGGCGCACTCTCGGCCTCCGCTGGATGCACCTCCGATGTCGTTAGACTGCGCACAGATTGCCACCCAAATTTCACGATCTCTGCCTCACAGTCTTGAACAGATCTGCAATTCCAGTGATGGTGACGCTAGCAATGGTGCTCCTCAGATACTGGATGAAAAGATTTAAGCTGTTTCAAGTGCTTTCCATGTCACACTGAAACTCGTTCAACGACCCCAGAAAACACAGAAATTGTCTTTCAAGAGCAATGGCGATATCGAGGATCCTCCATTACCAAACAGTGAGAGGAGTACTTATTAGTGATGGGCCGAAATTTTGCCGAGTCGAAAATTCGGCGCCGAATTTTAGGATTCAGCAAAGCCAAAGTCTCGCAAATCATTTTTTTGAAGATTTGGCAAAATAATTGTTACTTGACTTAAAAGTTGATGCTTCGTCTTTTTGGGTTAAAAAAAGATTTTTTTTTTTTTAATGAATATTAACACAGTTATTACTAGAAAATACCCAGGGTCTCTTATGTTATCCCTAAGATGAACTGAAGGCAAAAGCCCAAATGCCGATGCCGGTGGTAGCGAATCTCCGAAGACAGCGCGCTCTCTGGCGACGCACCTTTGGCGCCGTTAATCTCACGGCATGTCGCACGCCCGCTCTGCACCACTGCCCGAGCAATAGTTTCCTCCTCTCCCGCTGGGTTTGCCCCACGCGCGCGCCTCCGCCGATTCTGGCACAAGTAACGCCACCTCGTGGTCCGGTGGCGAACCGTGGGTTTTGGTACCTTTCGTGTCGGCGACGTGTTTTCGCCCAAGGAGTTTGAAGGTCAACTGAACGATGAGACATAAGTCTTTCGCCTTAACAAGGTGGTCGTTTACAAGACAATAGTATCAGTGTCATTTTTGTGCGTTTACTGACAATTTTACAGTGACTCTTTGCAGAAGTGGTGTGACAACGAGGTTGGGTAGTAGCGGACGCAGTTACAATACGTGAGTTTCGGTTTTGAAGCCCCATCAGCGAAAGCCTGCAATTGTGTACATTCTTATAATAAAGGTGGTAACACTGTGTTCTTACTTTCTCTAAGAGTCACCGTTTCGTGCGCAAAAGTGAATGCAACGGCGGCTGAGCCTTCACCAGAAGTGATAACGATATTATTATAAATGTCACGAATGACAAGAGCAGGAGCGGTGAAAATCCTGCTGCAAACTGAAAGTTCAATGGGCGAACTTGTGCAAAACAAAATAAAGAACAAGCGTTAAGACAGCAGAAAAGCAGGCGGCGATTTGGCGGCGTGCTTTTCTGCAAAAGTGAGAGCAACACTGACTCGACAGGTCCCGGTCAGCTTCTTATCTTGTGTGCGTCAGCATCTCGAAAAGTCGGCACAGGTGGTTCGAGCGTCGAGCGTTGGGGGTGAGAACGAACCAGCACTTTCGAGAACAAGGAAGTAGGACGAAATGATAAAAGTTACATCCCGAGCAAGAATAAACACAAATCTTCTAGAGATCTGTGACCGAGCGTTCCTTGCCCGGCCCTGCGTGTGGCAATATGCATGTTTTCCGATTGGAGTCACTTGACGTCAGCTTTGCATGAAAGTGTGCATCCCATATTTGTAACGTCTAGTTTTCTTAACTTTTAAAATGCCGTTTTCTGAGGTTAGTACACACGCAGATGTTTAGGAAGATGGGAAGAGTTAGGAATGTCGGATGTGCAACGTCGAGCATGATAGTTCTGTGTTTATAGTTTTATGCGAATAGATGAAGGTTGCAAAATAATGCTAATTAAAAAACAATGTTATTTTGTTTTAACAAAAACTACTCGCGAATCAAAAACAGCATTGCTATAATTGCGAGGCGTGCTTTAAAGTACTTGTCAGTCAATGTTGCAACTACCTCGTTGCATCACTGGTAAGATTAAATGAAAATCCCGTTATCCAGAATGTACCGCATCATTTGACACTTGCGCAGTGGACTGCTTCAATTCCTGGTCGATGAAGAGAACCACACTCACAAAGGCTGACAAACACGCAGTTAGAATATACTTTGCACCTCGCCGTAACCCCTGGCACATAGTACACTACACGATGGTAACCGAACGACCACACGGCATCCATTTGCAATCCATGGCCCCGTTGCATTCTCACATGCGCACAGACGTTTGCCAAATTTTTGCCAAACTTTCCTTCAAAAGTTTGGCATGTGCCAAACCTTGCCGAATCTGAAGTTCGGCAGATTCAGTCTATCACAAATATTTACGAAGTGGCAATGACCCTGGGAAACATGCAAAAGATTGGTGAAGGGAACTTTGCTACCCCACTTCTCCACCCTTTCCTGCACGTTAGTCGGTCACACGTCGGGATACGGTTGGTTTAGTCAACCACACCTTGGCACATGGTTGGTGTAGTTGGCAACATCTCGGCATTCAATCAGTTTAAGTTGGCCACACCTCGGCATCTCTTTGGTTTTAGTCGGCCGCACATCGGCATCCAGTTGGTTTCAGTCAGCTACACCTTGGCATGCGGTCGATTTTACGCGGCCACGCCGTGGCATCCTCTCAGTTTTAGTCGGCCCACCTTGACATCCAGTCGGACTTAGTCGGCCACACCTTGATATTCAGTTGGTTTCGTGAAACGTATGCGCTGTGAAACACAATATTGCCTCGCATATGCCACGTTAGTACACCCAAAATTCTAATATGCATCATCAGTCTAGGACCCTCATCTTAAATAACTCGCGTCTGACACAGAACCACTTCAGAAATGTGCGGCTCACTTTATAACATCTCGGTACTCCAGGTTTGCATCAGTCACTGAGCTTAAACAAAACTTATCTTTGACTACTTTGTGTTCACACACGCGTATTGCTGAACTGTGCCTTTTCCACAGGTTTTATTACGATGACCACCTGCATAGCTCATTCATCATGACACCTCATTGCATGTCCGCTGGTGTTGATCACCCTGCGAAAGTTGGCCTTCTTTTTACCCGAAATACAGCATTTTTTTAAATCATTTTTTCCCGCGACATCTGTGGACTGGAACGGCCTGCCAGAATTCATCGTCTCCACTCAAAACATTGACTTGTTCAGCAAATTATCATCGCACTCTCTGTAAACCTACTCCCTTATGTAATACCCTGACTCCAGGGTTCTTAAGTCATTTAAATAAATAATAAATAAATAAATAGAGAGGGACACAACACAAAGTGCTTCGTGCTGTGTCCCCCTCCTCTAGACATTGTTTTGCATTGTGTATTGTTTATATAGGATCACATAGTACCAACTAGCTCATCTCTCCATTTTAATACAGTTGGTTTTAGTCTACCCTACCTTGGCATTTGGTCGGCCAGCTCTGGTGTGTCACTAGTGAGGTCTGTGAGGCCCTTGACCTGAAGTGCCTCGGCCGCCTTGAGCAGGGAGGACAAGTGCTCGCGCGACACGTTCACCTCCCCGTGGTACATGAAGTCCACAATGGCACGCAACTCGCTGAACTTGAAGTCCTTCAGGATTACAATCGGGTGCTGGCACTGGTTCTCCACAAACAGCGACTGCGGCAGAACAAGGGAGGTGAACTAAGCTTGGTGTTAAGCTTGAACATTTGCAGTTCTACATAAAAATCTGTGCATATCGTAATCACCAAAACAACCACCTCCCTCTCAAGTGCGGTCAGTGCAACTGAGAATGCTGTCCGAATTTCCAAATAAATCTCGAGCAAGATACTGGGCTCTTCTGATTTACCTACACCAGCCTGACCCAGTGCAGAAAAGTGCAGGGCAATGTACTTCTGGTTACGTTTTCAAATAGGCTGCACTCGTAAATCAAATATGTCTGAGTGGACACAGAGCAGCTGGTGCAAAAGGTGCAGGTAAATCGAACAAGCCCACTATATGAAACTTGTGCATGCTCCCAAATCGCAACACGAAAAGCACACAATCTCATGCAAACTCTTCTAAAAACAAAAGCTGGTGTATGTCATTCATTCTGTAAAAAAAAAGTCACCCTTGAAAAATTTAAAGGGGTGGTCGCCGAACCCCTCACCTCCTCTTTAACCTCTTAAGTGCCAAATTTTTTTTCCAAAAGTAGCCTAAAAGTGCCATATTTTTTCTTTATTTTGAATTGTTATTCCTCTAGTATTACACATAAAATTTGAAAAGTTTATTACGCAAAAATCAGCGGAGCCGAAAAAAATATTTGCAAACTAAAACAAGTGCTGCCATCTATGATCAGCGCCGCAAAACTACTCGGACGAGCCTGGCTCGTCCATGGGATTGAGGGCTACCGAAAAAACCACTGGACGAGCTGAGCTCGTCCACGGCATTTTTAGCCAGAAGGTGGCCGACGAGCTCAGCTCGTCCAAGGCACTTAAGGGGTTAAAATCTGTCCCTGACCCCCGTCAGCCGTCACGAGTTCAATCCTCCAGGCTTCCCAAGAAGGGCCCACCTGAAAGAAAGGGCTGCAGGCGGCCAGCACGACCCTGTGCGCTTTGAGGCTGAGGCCCTCGCAGGCCACCGTGACGTCTGTGAGCGCCTCGCTGAACACCAGCTGGTCCAGAGCACTCAGCAGGTTGCTGTAGTGGCTCTTCCACTTGAGGCAGAACTGCTGTGATCCCATGGCCGCTCACACCCAGCCCTGCACACATGCCGCAACAATGCCGGCTGCACATTCGGTCCTGTCTTCTGCTGAATGCAGCTCTTATACAGTCAAAGGAAGAACGAGAATGACAGGGCACGCCTTTCGAACACCTGGCCTCCAGATGTTTGTGTTCGTTTACTGATGCCCACCAACAGCAACATGCCTTCCCGGTGGTGCACCACAGCAGACGAAAAAGAAACACACACATCAAACACACTAACATTATACACACAAAAACATCAAACCTAAAAAATATTAAAAAAAATAATAATATATTTTACTATAGTCTGACATTACTAAGTTCTCGAAAGATATCTTAAAAGGTGCAAACATGTCAATTGAAGGTAACGAAACACTAGCCAACAAAGCTTCCATTCGGGTGACAGGCATAAGCTGGGAGAGCTCACCAACATAAAACAGCTCCATTGACCTAAAGAGCAAGAAGACATGCAAAAGCTTATGGTGGACAATAAACTTGAGCATGACACTTTGCCATTTAAAAGTTTGTGCAAAAACACCCAATCATGAAGGTCTCTTCTTACAGAAAGTGTGACCGTACCCCATTTTACTCGGCAGCCAGTTACAGCCATAATAATACTTCTTTCTGAGGTATTAGGCCTAAATTAAATGAATTAAATGTCTCTGGACACTTTTATTAAGCTTAGATTTTGAAGAATTAAGTGAATTTTTTACATGACATTTACGTGGTACCGGGTTCGGCAATATCACGGCACAAGTGTGACGTGATAGCAGTTCAGAATTATGTTTTCTTGTATTTACATTTTTGTACGACCATCCAATTTTTCAAACATATTTTGCATTTCTGTTATAAAGTAAACTTTTGAGAGTAGTAGTTCTCGGACTTGGATACTATCAGCAGCCCATGTATCTTGTTAAACATTTTCGAGAAATCGCTGCCCTCCAACCAGAAGTTGAAGTTCACCCTTTATTACGTTATTTGTGAGATTTCGCAAAAAAAACCCGGGGTACATTTCATATTTTTTACAGGGTTTTGTTGTTTGCTAAATTTAACAAGATATATTTCTCGCTAAATTTAGCGGAGAACATTTTTCGCTAAATTTAGCAGGAAACATTTTTTGCTAAATTTAGAAAGAAACATTTCCAATTAAATTTAGTGGGAAAAATTTCTCGCTAATTTTAGGGAGGAATCGTAATGTCCTGTGGCACTAACAACAGCATTGCATGAGGTCACAATTTTTCCGATAAATTCCGTGGGGAATTCTTTTGCGCTAAATTTACAAGTAAAATGTTCCCATTAAACTTAGTGTACAAACTGACACCAGAGTGTGAGGTAACGTCTAGTCATGCCAAATGATGTCACGATGTTCCCACTAAACTAAGAAGATAAACTGTGACGTCACCGGACAAAGTAATGTCATAATTTTCCCTCTCAGTTTAATGGAGAAATTGTGACATCACAACTGGCATTCCCCTGCTAAATTTAGCAGGAAAGTGTGACATAGCGTGACATCACATGATGGTACCTATGTGACATTGCGGCTTTCGTTTTTGCCTTTCGCAAACACTATAGCGCAAAGGTTTCAAACGAGCGGCCCGCGGGCCGCAGCCTGCAGGTGTTTTGTGGCTGCAAGCTCCTGTTCCTATGCCTCGAGCACTGCATGCTTCATAAATAATGACCTCTTGTCATCCATTCTTTTCAACTAGAAGCGCAGCTCTGCTCTGATGACTTTAAGACACTTGGTACTAATCCGTTTGGTTTCAGATTGAGGAATGTTTCATCTTACATAACGTTAAGACACAAGTATTTTCTTGTAATTCTGCTTTAAGAATCAACAGGGAAGCAAAAAATACTGCATGAAAATAATTTCTTTTGAGACATGTATTGGATTGTGCGGCATCATAACGATTGCGTGCTTGGTTCCTAGTTTTATTGAACAATTCTAGCGTGTTGGCTCGATGGTAGTATTTTATATTTTGTAAACACACTAGTAGGTACAAACCCAAAGCAGTTGTACAAATAAATCGAAGCTAAAGATGGAACTGGTAGAACAACTATTTTACAAAAAGCAAATAGCACGAGATTCCCTCGTTAGGAAATCTCTGGGTGTCGCTGAAAGATTCGGCTGCATTGCAACGTAAAAAACCATCGCCGTTTTTTTTTTTTTTTTTTTTTTTTTTTTTTAATATACATAGCCTTTTTTTCCGCCCTAAGTTGTCGCTTGAAACTTCGGGATGGGCTATCTAACCCCCACACTCAAATGAGTTTGAGACCCCTGCTATAGTGGGTCTCAAACTCAAACCATATTTCCAAATACTTTCCTCTGTTTAAAACGTATTGCTGACCTATATCGCAGCACCTTTTTATAAACGCAGTTCGCTATTAGAGTTTTAGCTGCCCTTGCTATGTATTTCTGTCCATTCCTGACGTGGTTCCACCGGACTTCCAAAATGCCATAGAAAATCCTTTTCACATTGTATTCTTGTGAGCGGCTCACACAATAGCACTCACAGGAGGTTGAGACATAGGTTAAAATAGAAACCTTTGACCGCACGCCAAATGCTCGGGAGATTCGTCGTCTTCTTTTCCATCAAATGTCAAAAGTCCAGTGTGAAAAAATGTGAAGTAGCAGAAAAGCATGAGTCTTAAACTAAACGAAATGCTTCATGCATGCTTTCTCTTTTTTTTTTTTTTTTACACTAACATAAATCCCAACTTGTTTTTAAAAAAATAAAAAGTGAAATAACTTTCTGCAACCAAAACCTAAGCTACCTTCCCAAAGAAAATTTAAAGCACTTTAAAAATAGAAAAAAGCTAAAAGCAGCACTGCTTTTCTTTCTTTTTTTCTTTCTTTTTTTTTTTTTTTTTCTCAAGATTTTGAATATTCATTTTGACTTTTACCAGCTTTAACAGCTCTCTGTCTGCCGAGCAACAAGAGCTGGGCAGCCTCCCTGCTACTTGTGGAAAAGCTGTGGTGACAACATCGCTGTTTGCACCTCCAATAGGGCACACCTGACATTGCCACTGATTTCACTTACATATGGCAGACAGCAGCGAGGGAAGGCTATGGCGAAATTTAATTGGTGATTATATCGCTCTTACTAATAAAATTTGAAAAATTATGCCTGTGAACTTTAAAGAGCGTACATGCAACCTCTTGCAGCTTTTCCGATTCGACCTTTAACTTCCTTTTTACTGAAAACTCTTGGAATTGAAACTAGCAAAAATAAGTGTACAAGCATTACCATGCTTCGTGGCACACACTAAATTGCCAAAACACCTTCAGCGAGCAAGGTATACTCTATGTGAACATATAGATGTTCATCATTTCCATAAAAAGCATTGAATAGAATTTCTGTGTGTAATGTAACGACTGCACAGACGACAAACAAGGGACCAGGTGAAGGTGGAATTTTTGGTGTATGTTCTTAAAAACTGATTCCTCACACATTTCAGATGCTTCGCTCAAAAGCTATCGATACTATGTTTTTGTGAACTTGTGACCTGAAACAATATCCAACTCACAAAGAAAATGTAATGTGCTCATGTCAGACTGTAGTGGCCCTTCAAACGCACCGACTGTTGTAATGAAATAACAAAATATTTCATGCACACCATCAGCTGGAGTCAACCTTTTAAACAACAAACCCTTCGGTCAGGTTGCTTTGGACTTTGCACCCAAGGCTCGGCCTCCTGTTCTCAACGCGACTCATCCAGACTTTCAGGCCTGCGAATCGCTGCCAAACACCGTGCGAACGTTGGCAACATCCTAGCAGAGTTGGCTTTTGCATTCTGACGTCATACTAATTAACCTGCTGCGTCCGCAAAAACGCGCGGTTCAGAGTCCAATCGCAGAGCCTCGTTAGAAGATGCAAACGTCCGCACTTTGTAATTGGCAGGAAGCTTCGCGACTCTGGCAAAGTCATTGAGAGTCTTTGCTCTAATTAGGACCCCAAGCGTGGTCTCAGCAATCGCAGGCAACCGTGGAGGTGCGAAGCAACGTGATTGTGCAAGGAAAAGCTCCACACCGCCTGCGGTTACGCCGACACCCGCTCGCTACTCTGAAGATTTTGAACGAGCAGGCAAACACAGCATTATTCAGTGCCATATATTTGAATATTTTTGAAAAAAAAAGTTGTAGAAAAACCGGAACGCTGCCGAGACCAGCGTGACTGACACATGATGCCGTGCGCGTTGCCTACGCGAATGCTGGCCTTTTAAACAGTTTAAATGCTCGATTCTAACGGAACACTGATCCAGTGTTGACTATCAGAAATGCCCGTGCATATCTGCGTACAGTTTACTGTATCGCGGAAACGAGACAAGAAAATAAGGTCACTTACCTCGCGATAAAATAAAGTCTGTTTACAAACTAAACATAAAGGCCGATTGCTCCTTCGCTCTTGCGGCGGCGTCCTCGTTGCCAGATAACTTGGCAAGTCGACCGTTTGGCTCAAAAACTGCGCCGGAAGACAAATAATCAAGAAAGATACCCAACTGTTAATTATAACCGTAATTTATTTTCTTATATAATTAATTCCGTTAAGAAACTAAAAAAAAATAACGTTGAAGTTGTTGCTCGGTGGTAAATATTCTTTAAAATTAATACCAACGTTCGCCGCCATTTGATTAGCGGTGCTGCGTTCCTGCCGATCATTTTGAAGCTATCGAAGCCAGGTGCACAGTGTGCATGCGCTTTGGCTACACTTTTGCCGCTTTTGCTTCGGAGGGTGCTGTAGCTGGAGCAGCTGGAGGGATGTGTGGTTTGTGCGCACAGCTGTATGGCTACTGATTGTACGCGCAGAGTATCTGCGTGCCAGCCCCCCGGTGTACGGACGTTCGCAACTGTTTCGTGCTACTAAAGACAGCTTGCCGCCGAGGTGGCTCAAACGACGTGACCAAATGGAACAATCGCAGCGAGTAGTGTTCAGAAAGCATGCAAGCTACCATTCCTGTTCTGTTTTTCGCGTCAAAGCTGTTCGTTCGACCTCACTGCCACCGATTGTTTTTACGCCACAGGCAGACATAAGAATAGACCAGGGTCTGGAGGGATTTAGCTTTAAAATTAGATATATTCAGCGCGATCAGGCACATTTCGATTCTTCGATAACAGTCTAGCAAGTTTGCTTGCGTGCCTGCGGGGGCGTGCAGAAATTATCGTTTTGTGTGCTTGTGCTTCCTCGCGTTTTAATGACTCCTATTTTCGTTCACTTCTAGGCACCAAAGAGAGGGAAAACGAAGACGGGCCAAGTTCTACATTTTCGTCATGTTGCGCAAAGGGAGGACCTGCGAAATGTGTTCCGCGATTTGCCCGATAACCGTTTCTAAGCTGGCATGTCATTGCGACAGTGTCCATTTTTGGTAGCTAGCTGTATGTGCAGATTGCCTGTGCGATGCGAATGTTAGTCTGAATTGCACCACCACCCATGAACACAGTGTTTTGATTGCGACGCGCATCTGTGTGCCAGAAACAGTGTTTGGTTTCCAGTGTTGAACCCTGTGCCATAATTATGGCATGTTGTAACAAACTGAACCCTTCGTTGAACGCGGCGCGAACAGAAATGGCGCTGAACACAACGACGAGCAAACACAGTCCGTCGAGAAAAATCGTCCCCCAAAGCTCTCCGCCCACCATGGTTAAGGGTCTCCTTTTACAGCATTTACACTGCTCAAGTGGAAAGAATGGTGAGCTTTGTGGGAAAAGCTTGTCCTGCTATTATTGTGTGTTATCGTCGTAAAAGGTTTTAAGGCATAGTCGTAAGCAGTCGCAAGTGTGAACGCGCCTTTATGCTGGCTAACTAGTGAGCACTCGTCCTTGTTTGTACTGCTGTTTATGTACCTGCTACAATAACCTGATTTAGCAAAATGCACGCAATCGAACCTGCAATCCCGTCCTTTACGTACGATGCTTGGATCGGTAGTCTGGCGACACTGTCCAGTCTCGTAGCGCTTCCGTTACCACTGTGCTTTGAAATAGCAGCTGGACAGCTTGATTGCTTAAATGAGACTTCGACCAACTAACAGCAATGCTCGTTTCCTCCAGGTGAGACTGGCTGCAGCGAACTCGCCCTGGCGCGGCGCGGCAAGCCCGAGACTGCACCCTGCCCGTACTGCTTCGCGCACCTGAGTGTCAAGTCACTGTCGCGGCACAAGAAGGACATGCACGGCAGCCAGAAGAGGGTTCACAAGTGCTCCGTGTGCGACGCCAAGCTCACCCGCCTCGACAACCTCCGCAGGCACATGATGCTTCGCCACCGGCCGCAGAAGAGCCACTGAAACGGCAAGGAGGAGAGGGGCCTCGGAAAACCCTCTCGAGGCAGTTGCGGTGCGGTGTTCGGAATCAGTCTCCCAGCAGCGCGTTTTACCGCGTCCTGAAAAGTGGTCCCTCAACTTCTGCTTGACGACGTTGTAGATGTGTCGCCGGTAGCGATCCTGGCAGTGTAGCAGCAGTGGTGGATGAGCCAGATGCCTGTTGTGCTGCATGTCGCTCTCCAACTTGACAATCTGCAGAAGCTTCGGCACCAAGCAGTTGGGACACCGCAACGACGGCCGCGCTCGCATTGACTCGTGCTTTCTGCCGGAACTCCAATGCCCGAACGCCAGGATCGCGACATCCAACAGCACAACATTCCGGCTTTTGTAACGTCATTCGTTGCCACTTTGGGACCACTTTCGACGCGTGGTTGAAATAATAAGCTAAACAAACAGGTCAAAAGCACGTTCCAGGCACCATAGTTACGGTGCCTGGCCTGCATCTTCATCCATTTTCTTTTTTTTTTGGGGGGGGGGGGGGGGGGGTGCCGTACCACCCACGCATCAAAAAAATGGTCCCAAAGTGGCGACAAAAGTCGTGGAAGCCCATGCATCATGCTGTCCGATGTCACCATCCTGGCGGTTAGGCTCGCAAGTACCAATGAAAAACACGTGGGAACGCCAGTGGCGGCGGCGGCGCAGCGTCCCGACTCGTTGCCACCGAAACTTCCGGAGACCTTCGAGCCAAGAGCGAGCCGCGACGGAACGGGCGTCTATTGCATTTACTTCCGTCGTAGTGTCACTGCCAGGATCGTGGCGGGCACCTCCTCGACGTTGTCGGGTGAACATCGAGGGACCACGATCAAGACACGATAAGCACGCCGGCCAGAGACGCGCTTCGGGCCAGGTACAGCTCAGAGCCACTAAGCAAGCTGTGCTTAGAGTATTGACACTTCGTTCGCCGATTGTCTCGTGGGCACCGCCATCTCGTTTCATAGAGCGGCGATAGTTACGGTTCGAAAACTGGATTCCTTGAACTTTTACTTAAGGTGTCGGGTAGCTCCAGTGATATCATTTTGCTCTGTTGCAGACTGTGTTAATATTTTTGGGGGATGGAAAGGCGTTTTCCACAATTTTAGATACAGGTTCGACTAACTGGCAACCGTGGTTTCAAGCAACAAAAGGGCCGAGTTGTCATTACTCTGAAGCGTAGCTTGTTTAGGGGCTCCAAGTGCATCCGCAGGTTTGGAGGAAGCGACGGATGAAAGTGAAAACTTGGACCATAGTCTGCCGCAACGTAAGATCTGCAGAAGCAACTCTGCCTCCGTTGCAAGCTTTCGACCTTTGATAGGGGCTGGAACGTTCGCGCAAAAAACAGCTGGAAAAATTAGGCGAATCCGGAACAAACACAAAAATTGTTCCGCACCGTTTAAAAGAAAAAAAGGAGAGTATTTACCAAGTAAATCGAAAGTATGGCTTTGTTAAAAGCATTTGTGCAATTTCTGTACAATCGATGCCCACGCATGGTTCATTCTTAAAAATAAATGGCGCGGAACTATTTTTGCTTTTGTGCGAATTTTGCAAGACGTTTGGTTGGTTTTTTGCGCATGTTAAAGGGATGGTGCAACGATTTTCAGACTTTGGCCAATTAACTGCGGAAATTAATCTGCGTCACCTATGGAACGAAAAACCGAAAGCCACATTTTCTTGCGAGCGCTAGTTCTTATTTAAAAAAAATGAAACAAATCGAAGGTCGAAGTGCCTCTCAACTCTTCACGCCGACTTTCGAGTGACGTCTCTGGGGGTTCTTGTGGTTTCCCCTTGGGCCCTCTTTTCAGAGACCCCAGCCGCTTCCTCCGCGATTGTCGACTTTCAAAGGATTAGCCTCGTCGAAGGTCGCGGCGAGCGATAGACACAAAGGACGGTTCGCCACGGGGCTGACGGCAAGTGTAGCAGCGGAGGGGGACAGGGTTTGTTGACTTCCGCGTATCCCCCAGAGACGCCGTCATTTTAGTTCCCGTAGCCGCCACTGGCGGCTGCAGATCGGCAAATAATTCGTTTTTTGCCTTGCGATTACGTTTGTTGGGGAAAGGTGTCGCGTTTTTGGTCACTTGGGCTTGTATAAACAATATAAAAAATGCGAACTGGCAATTCTTTCAACATTAAAACCGTTGCACTGCCCCTTTAAGGTTGATTACAAGAAAGAACCATGTGCCCGAATTCCTTCTCTCTACCACTTGTTCTTTCATGCCGTCGGCGCCGCGTGCCTTGCAAGTGTGCCACAGAGTATGGCGCCATTCTTAGAGCCTGCGGTCAATATTCTCAACCTACAGTTGGAAACCAATCGGGGTTTTACCGTTTCATAGTTACGATTGTTGAGTGAACGAAAGATGAAAAACCCTAACTGCGCCAACTCCAAGGTTTGAAACCTTGGGCGCTGTAAACTTTTCTAGTAGAGGTGCAGAAACAACAAATAAGAAGCTCCCCTGGATCGAGGAAATGCGACATAGAACTGAAATGCGTTTCGGCTTGCGGGTACAGTCAAACAAACCGTCCATACGAATTCTTGTTTACCTATCGATTTTTGTGCGTTCGATTGTTTCTCTCACGAGTGATGTTCCACTAGACTCGGGAACTGCGACATTCTCCCCAAGCTATGTACGGCCCCTTTCAACTTGCTGTGCAAAGCCATTTCGATTCCCAGCGGCGTAGCTAGACCATCCGGCATACGGAGCCCTTTGTGTAAAGCGGGGGAGGGGTTCTGGGAGGCGCCGTGTAACCGAGCTTTCGGTTGCACGTCAAAAGGTTTCCAGGTGGTCCAAATTAATCCTCAGTCCTCCGCTGGGGCGTGCCAGATGCCCGTCGTTGGTTTGGCACGTAAAACCCCCAAATTTGACTTTTCTTGGGTTCCGGGTATTGCGAGGGTGGCAACCTTCTATGTGAACTGGGATGCCTGGTACTCGGGGCCCAAAACCTCCCCCCCGGCTGCTGTGCCAGTGGCAGTTCCTGATGTTAAGAAGACCAGTGCCATAATATAATCCATCTACGAGACAAGTGAAAACTGTGATTTTTTGGGATTGAGCTGAATGTTGCAAAATACAATTGCATACCGTAAAATATTGGGCAAGCGCCCACTCAAAATTGAGATAATCGCAAAAAAATGGGGG